TGGAACTACAGGCATGCACCACCATGTCCAGCTATTTTTTAGAAATTTTTGGTAGAGACAGGGTCTTGCTCTGTTGCCCAGGATGATCTCGAACTCTTAGACTTAAGTGATCCTCCTGCCTTGGCCTCCCAAAATGCTGGGATTACGGGCATGAGCCACCATGCTGGCCTTTTTTTAATGTTCTGATCAAATAGCTCAGATTGTAATGCCTATACCTTTCCACGGTGCTACCCGAGACCTTTCTCGTGCCATTCACTCTCCTGCACGCATGTCTTTCCATTCACACCCCTGCAATCCCATGTACACACACCCCACGCTGCCTCTCACTCCTGATGGGCAGGACCCTGCCTCTCACCCACAGGGGAAGTCTTGGGTATCAAGTACCCGGTCCAGGTCCCCTACAAGCGGATCAAGAGTAACCCTGCTCCGTGATCATTGAGGGGCTGCCCCCGGGAATCCCGTTCCGAAAGCCCTGCACCTTCGGCTCCCAGAACCTGGAGAGGATTCTTGCCGTGGCCAACAAGATCAAGTTCACAGTCACCAGGTACTCAGGGGGAAGGATGAGGGTGAAGAGGCGGGACTAGCTCAGATGGAGGCTTATACCTGCGAATCCTTAGCCTTTCCCTAGGTCCTGCTCTCCCTACTGGACAATGTGGCTCTCCTGGCACCATCCTGGGTCCTGGGGGTGGCCAGAAAGGGACTGCAGGCCAGCCCGAGTGCAGGGAACCCTTCAGAAGTGGGACTGGTCACCCCACCATGGCAAGGGCAGCCTTCAAGGGCATCTTCAACCTGTTCAGCAACACCCGCTCACTGCACCCCCAGCCCCCGGGAAAAGCATTCAGCCCCCATCAGAGGGATTTGCCCAAGGTCCCAGGGCCAGCCAGGGCAGAGCCTGCACAAGGCCCAGGTCTGCGTCCTGCAGAGTGACACTGCCAATGCCAGCACCCTGCCACATTGTCTCAGTGTCCTGCACACACAGAACCCCAGGGCAGCTTGTTAAAATGCAGATTCTGCTGCCGTAGGTCTGGGGTGCTCCCAGGAGAGACGGAGGCCACTGCATCCCAGGGGTCTTCCTCATCCTCCAGGCCCTCCCCATGACACCCCTGCCTCTGTTTCTCTTCTAGGCCTTTCCAAGGACTCATCCCAAAGCCTGGTAAGAGGCACTGGCTGTGGAGGGGCACTGGGAATAGGGCCCAGTCATGGTGCTGGGGGCTGGAGCTAAGCCTGCTGTGGGGCACAGGTTCTGGGGGCTGGGAACAGAAGCCAGGCCCCTGCCTTTCTTTTTTTTTTTTCTGTGGCAGAGTTCTTTTCTGTCAACCAGGCTGGAGAGCAGTGGTGTGATCTCAGCTCACTGTAACCTCCACCTCCCGGATTCAAGCGATTCTCCTGCCTCAGCCTCCTGAGTAGCTGGGATTACAGGCAACTGTCACCACGCCTGGCTATTTTTTGTATTTTTAGTAGAGACAGGGTTTCACCATGTTGGCCAGGCTGGTTTCCAACTCCTGACCTCAAGTGATCCACCTACCTCAGCCTCCCAAAGTGTTGGGATTACAGGCGTGCGCCACCGTGCCCGGCCTAGGCCCCTGCCCTTCTGTTTAGCCACCTCACCTGGGCGCCTGACCCAGGTAGATGGAGGAAGGCGAAGCTTGAATGTGGCCCCACATCCTGGGGAAGAGAAAGGAGTGGTGGTACCAGTGATTTCTAAGTTTTACCCAGTCTGGGTTCAGGAGGGAGGGGTCAGGCCAGGTCAGTGTGCCCACTCCTGATAAAGGGGGTCTGGTTGACCTTAGTGAATAGATGAGGTTGTCGGTGAGTGGGTTCCTAACCACAGAAGGAGGGGTGTCTCCATGGGAACTGCAAGCGTGGTGGTAAGATGTGGGGGGTGTCTACCCCGCCTTCAACAGTGCAGTGCCTCTCCTGACCCTTTTTTGTGTTTTATATGTGTGTGTGTGTGTGTATATATATATATTTTTTTTTTTCTTTTTTTTTTGAGACCAAGTCTCACTTTGTTGCCCAGGCTGGAGTACAGTGGCACAATCTCTGCTCACTGCAACCTCCATCTCCCAGGTTCAAACGATTCTCCTGCCTCAGCCTCCCGAGTAGCTGGGATTATAGGCACATGCCACCATGGCCGGCTAATTTTTGTATTTTTAGTAGAGATGGGGTTTCACCATGTTGGC